ATTAAAAATTTTTAAAACATTGTTCAAAAAAAAGAGCCACTTAAAATTTAATAATCAACATGTTTGCCTTTAGCATTGTAAATTGCTAGAACTCTCTTATTAAAACTCATAATATATGGCTGTACCATCTTGGGTGTTATGGAATTCCAGATCCTTAGGATTTCCTCTTTAAGTTCTTGTTTTTTTTTAATTTACCCTTTTTACAAAGTTCTTTCTTAATAAAAGCCCATATGTGCTCAATAAGGTTTTAATCCGGGCTTTGAGGTGGCCAAGGTAAGATGTCAATTTCTTTTGCATCAATCCAATCTTTAACAACACCTGAAGTGTGTTTTGGATCATTATCATGCATAAAAATAAATGAATCAATACCCATTTCATTAGCTGACTATCTTAAATTTTTTGCTAAAATTTGTTTATATGCAGCCCCTGTCATAATATTTTCGATAAATACTAGTCTACCAACACTTTGATATGATATACAGCCCCAGACCATAACACATCCTCCTCCATGTTTTACTGTGGGTACAATTTTTTTACTGTTATGTCTTTCTCCTGGGTAATGTCTAACATATCTTGCCCCATCACTAGTAAATAGGTTAATTTTTACTTCATCTAAAAAAATTATCCTTTTAAGGGTTTCGTTCTTCATTCCTAAAAAATTTTTACATATTTCAAATCTTTGTTTAATATTGACAGGTCTTAATAAAGGCTTTTTCAATGCCAAGTTAGTTAAAAGTTCTAAACTACTTAAAAATCTTGATATTGTTGGTCTTGAAACCTTTAAATTAAATTTCTTATTCAATTTTTCAATTATTTCCCTAGATGAAATAAAAGGATTCATATTATGAAGATTTTTAATAAATTGCTTCATGGAATTATTTAATAGTTAAAGACGACCAGAACCTTGTTTACGGGTAATTAAAACATTATTTCCCAGATTTTCAGCTATTCTCTGTACAGTTCTTCTAGCAAAACCTCTTTTAATGGAAATTTGGTTTAAACTCAATCCTGACTCAATGTCATCACAAATTAAAGCTTTATCGATATCATTTAAATGTCTTGCCATATAAAAAGGCTTCAAAAATGATTTTAAAAAATGAAAATTGGAGGGAAAATCAAACTGGCTCTTTTTTTTGAACAGTGTTTTAAAAATTTTTAATCAAAAGTATAATTTATTTGATAAATTTTTTGATTTCTTTTTCACATTAAATTTACTTTATGTGTTTAAAAGTAAAATAATCATATAAATTTCACCTATAATATATTTTTTTATTGTTTTCTTTCAAAAAATACCTTGCTCTTTTTTTTTGAACACCACTGTATCATGTTTTATAAAAATATAATAAAATACTTGATTTATTTTTAAATATTGAAAGAATTGAATATTTAAAAATAAAAATTGCTTTTATAATAGAGTTCTAGTTTTTTTATAAGATTTTGTTAAATAAGTCTTATTTTTCAAAAATAAAAATTTTTAAAAATGGCTTGTATCAGAATCGAACATACAACTAACAAAAACATCCTAGTATTTATTAACTAGAAGAATTTTTGCTATTTTAAATATAATTGTTATAAAATATTTAAGTTGTTTTTTTTAAATTATGTAAGAATTAAATATTTAAAAATAAAAATTGCTTTTATAATAATACTGTTACAAAATTTAAACTTTTATAAAATATGAACAATATCAATATCGAACCTACAAAAACCACTACAGACTTTTATAACTGTAATGGAATTAGGAAGTTTATATATAATTATAATAAAATTTTAAAGTTGTTTTAAAAATATATTTAAAGAATTGAATATTTAAAACTAGAAATGGTTTTACTAAAACATTACTCTTTTTATTATAAGATTTTGTTAAAAAAGTTTTCTTTTTCAAATTTAAAAAAGATGCTTATATCAGAATCGAACCTTAAACAATAAACCACAGTTTATATTAACTGTGAGCCGATTATCTAGAGTAAAATTAAATATAAATAAAATACTTAATTTGTTTTATAAAATATTTAAAAGAATTGAATATTTAAAACTAGAAATGGTTTTATAATACTGTCACATCACATTGTGACAATACTAAAATGTAAAAGAAATATATTTCTAAAGGAATTTATTTATTAATAATTATCTTTAATATTGAAATATTAATATTAATTATTTGTTTGTAAACAAATAAGCTATAAATAGAAATAATAAATTCTTTACCCCGAAATTTTAATGTCTTCACCCAACAACGATAACCCTACGGGTTATGACAATTTGAATTCAAAGCCAACAAATATTATAAGGAGCAATACTACTAAAATGCAATACTTCAAGAATTTCTTACAATTAGGTGCCTTTAACGACACACAAAATTTCATACCAGTGCATAAATTAAGATTTGATATATTTATTGGTCAATCAAAAGGACCTGTTATCAAGCTAGATATGCTTATTAAGATTTATAAACAAGATCTTTTGAAATAGACTCATCAATTAAAATTAGTAATTAGACGCTGCAAAATCACCAGTACTGAAGAACAAAATGATTTGTTACAAATGGCTGTTAATCCAAAATATCACTGCTCAATCAGTAATGGCGGTACAATTAATACTAAAATAGATAATCTTAAAGCATTTGTATTAAATGAAGAAAATTATGTCTACTTTAAAGATTTTCTTAAAAGAATGAAATTAACAAAATATGGCAATATTGATAATTACACAGAATTGTTTTTAAACATAGCTGAAAAAATGAATGCATGCTTGCATAAGAAAGAAAGATTGCCAGAAAGAGAATTGTCTGAAATATACCTTTCTGGTATGCCTAACTGGCTTCAAATTGAGGCTTCAAAACTTGATACTATCAATATTACCGACTTGCAAATTTCATTAAGGAAAGTTGAAATGAAGCTTTCAGAGATTGAAATAAAGAACAATACAAACAAAATAAAGTTGAAAATCAAAAAGGTTCAAATCAAAATTTCAATAAATCAAATAAGCCTTATTTACCAAATTCAACCGAATTTAAATCCTGTTCTTCTTCAAATGCTTTAGTTTTATCAGAAAAAGTATGTGGAAAAAATCAGGATATACTTATCGACACAGGAGCAGATCATTGTTTCATTACTTCTGGTTTAGTTGAATCTCTCAAACTACAAGGTACTAAACTCTCAAAGTCAATTATAGTAACTGTTGGTAATGGTGAGAAGGTAAAGCTTAATAAGAAAGTTAATACAACATTTTCTTTAGGACCAACTGATTCTATAACTTTTAACCAAGATTTTTTAATAATACTAAATGCAAATTGTGAACTTATTTTTGGAAAAAAATTTCTAAATAGGAATGAAGCAATATTATCATTTAAAGATAATAGATAAAAATTGAAAATTAAACTTTTGAAATGCCTACTATGAATGATGATATAGATTCTTTAAACTGTTATGCAATTATTTCAATCAAGAATTCTCAGAGGAATTAAATAAAGTCATAGAAAAATACAATATATCTATTAATTCATCTGAACCTGTTGTTAATACATCTTTCAAGATTAATTTAAATAACCTAGATCCTATTATGTGCAAACCATATAGAGTGCCTCAAAAATTGATTTCTGAACTTAAAGATCATATTAAAGAATTTTTAGATTAAAATATAATCAAAGAGTCAAATTCTTCATATGGAGCACTTGTTTTGTAAAACGTAAACCCGACGGTAGATTATGCTTACTCATTGATTATAGGAAATTAAATTTAGTAACAGTTGATGATGTCTATCATTTCCCATCAATGAAAGAAATTATTTCTGACTTAAGTGGATCAAAATATTTTTCACAATTTGACTTAGTTAAAGGATATTACCAAATAAAAATTTATCATAATAATACACACAAAACTGCTTTTGTGGTTCCAGATTGACTTTACGAGTTTTTGCGAATGCTTTTTGGACTAAAAAATACACCTCAAGTGTTTCAGAGGGTAATGCAACAGATTCTTAATAGATTATCATTTATAAAAGTATATCTTGATGATATACTAATTCATAGTAAAACATTTGCAGATCATATTAATCACTGCAAAATTGTAATAAACAAACTAAAAGAGGCTAATGTAAAAATTAACTTTGAGAAAAGTAAATTCATGCAACCAGAAGTAAAATACCTGGGATTAGTTGTTGTGATGAGAATCACAACTATAATAATAACTTTAAGTTATTATCATAACTTGGAAATTTATATATATTTTTATAAGTTTATATATAAATATTTCAAGCTGTTAAATTTTTATTAAAAATTTTAACCCGTAAAATTTAATTAATAAAATATG